AAAAAAAAATCAATATAATAAAGTGATAAGCTTCATTTCTAACATAAATTTGAAAGTAAATAAGTAAAAATCTATGTAATTAGAAATAATTAGTCAAATTTATAGATTTTTAATCATTAAATTAATGAGAAATAAAGCGGGTTACACTCATTCACTTCTTTGAAAGGTACTCCCTAAGTATTGATCTGGTGGTAAAACAATGTAATTGCTTAATTCATTTATAAAAAAATTATATCAAGAATAAAAAATAAACTTATATTCGATCGAAAAATGAAAAAAAAAATCATTTAGTAGATCGTTAATTTTAAATAATCAACGATTAGAGATAACAAATTAAGTTAATTATAAAGTTCAGCCGGTTATAATTTTCCAATAATAATAACCACGCATTATAAATTTAAAAAAAAAAGACACAATTAATTCCTCATTAGATTTAACTAAAGGTCATATCGAAGAAATAAAAACATGAATTAAAATTTTGCAATTTTTAGAAGAATTATTTTCAATCTTTTACAAAAGTTTTTAGGGGGAAAAATATAGAATGTTTTTAACATATTACTGTAATAATAAGCCGAATCAATGATTAATAAAAATGGATGTAATAAACTAAAAAAAAAAAAAAAGAATTAAAACACTGTACGAAGACAATAACAACTTTTCAATAGCAATTATGTTTTTATCATAAATATGAAACATATGGGTTTTGTTTCCTATTAGAAGTGATCATTTCCCTCTTCATAGTCTTGGAATGGAATGAAAATTATATAGTGGGCTTTGTTTTTTTTACTTAGTATATCACTTTTTTATGAACAATTCATCCACTCGTTTACTGTATAATAATATACGTCAATATATTTAATTTATTCATTAAATTTACATTGAGTACAACAAATACTCGGTTAATATTCCCTTGAATTGTTCTGTGTATTCAACACGTTAAATTCTTTTCCTGTTTTTAAATTCTGTTAATGATAAACATCAAATGAAATTCAATTTTAAATCAGCTAACGTTTGAAGACAGAAGATTTAGGCTATTGTAAGGGCTTCTAATATTTACAAAAGCTTTATCTTTTTAAGATAGCAGATGGAAAAAACGGATAGGGCCAAGAAAATTAAGCAATTTTCTTAAAAAAGAAGTCTTAGAAAGGTGACAAATTAGAATTTAAACAGTCGTCAAAATCAGATGCATTTTACTCTTTCCTTCGTTAAAAGTTAGACAAATTCTACGAATATGATATGTAAACTAGATGTATTCAAACATAACAAACATTTCAATTTTTATCTAATATTTCTTAGTGATTATCCAATTAATTTGGGATTATGCACCAGAATAGAACGATGTCAGATATTCTGAGAAATAAAAAAGAATTCAACCTTTAATTTTGTACAATTACCTCATTTAAAAACAATCGATAATCCTCATAAGAATATCTCGTTAATCTATCAGGATTTTTGGACCAACTTCATTAAGTGCTACTGTATAGGTTGGGCATCAGGTACACAGAAGCCAGTTTGCTCGGGGGTCACAGTTTTAACCAAAGATTTATTGTCTCGCTGAGTTAAACGCCGCCAGGAAAAAAGAAAAAGAAATTACTCTCGTTTCATTTTCTGTAATCGTTCTGTTAAATGTCACCTCGGGCTAAGAGAGTAGATTGAAATCACTTCTTAACGACCGAACTGCCTAAACGGTGGTGATAATATTTTTTTTTCTTTCGTCCCTCCTCTGACTTGTATTATCCTCCCTTTCTTGACACCGCCCGTTGTCGTCGCTTCGTCGGCCATTTTCTTATTTGACAAACTTGATTTGATGGGACGTGAAATAAGATCCAAATTTTATCATTGTCCAACTCGATGTTTCTCTAGCTTCTTCGGTAGCATTCACTTTTCAGCTTTTGCTTTGTTCGTCGTTCTAAAGTTTAGAAAATATCTAAACTTTTGAATGTTTTTTTTTCCTCGGATTTTATGCCAAATTTTATCACTTGAAACTGATGCATAAATTAAATAAACCTTCTGCAGTAATTATTACAGAATTTGTTGTTGTATTACTCATAATAAGTTTAAATATTAGCTCTATTAAGATGAAAATCTATTACTGTTATAGCCGATACCTACTTATTTTATTTAAAATCTTCTAAAACTATGGTAAAATGAATTTAATAATAATTGACTATAATATCGTTATTTATATAAAAATTATATAAAACTTAAAATTTTAATTTGTAAATTTTTTACATGTTAANTTTTTAAAAAAATATTATATTGAAAAACATGTTTAAGTAACGTTATCATCTTACGCTCAAATGAATCTCAATATTGATAATTTATCCTTGATAAATAAAGATAAATTTCTAGTTATTTGAATTAAAAACTGTTAAAACTTATTATTATTATTATTTAAATTTATATTAAACTTAACCAGAAGCAATTATTTCTTTTCTAAAATCAATTAATAATTACACTTTTTTCTAAGATAATTTATCTTTTTCTATATTTCTTATATTAAATTTTAGCATGTGTATATGATTAAAACATAAATACAAAGTAAATATTTTAAATTTTTCAATAATTTCAAGCAAAACTAGAACTAAACATAAGTTAAATTGTATTGAAAAACAGTAGGCTACTTGGAGTAGTGCTTTACAGATAGGTGTAAAATGTCTAATCGGAGTGCAGAAATTGTGACTACACCTTTCTCTTTGTGGGTGAGATACCTCATTTCAGCAACTGTTTTATCATTTCCAATTTTTGGAACAGTTTTTACTTTTACGAATTTTCTCTTTTACAAATAAATTAAGAATTAATTAATTATCTTATCGGCAGTAAAGATATCAATCTAGAGATATGAGGAATCCGGGTTCGAATCGTCTTAATTAATTGAATAAGGATTACAATCCTGACCCGTATTAATTGTTATAGATCTGACCATCGAATGTAGAGCACAAATAATGAGCTTAGAGGCTCACGAACCCAATTCGTGTTGACATTTTTTAGAAATTATAACTTATAATTATAAAACGAGACTAAAATTAATCCGACAATTGCATTTAAATTTGATTTTTAAAATTTACTTAAAAAATACAGNAAATTAAATAAACCTTCTGCAGTAATTATTACAGAATTTGTTGTTGTATTACTCATAATAAGTTTAAATATTAGCTCTATTAAGATGAAAATCTATTACTGTTATAGCCGATACCTACTTATTTTATTTAAAATCTTCTAAAACTATGGTAAAATGAATTTAATAATAATTGACTATAATATCGTTATTTATATAAAAATTATATAAAACTTAAAATTTTAATTTGAAATCTTTAATTAACGAAACATAAAATTAATGTGAGAATCACACAGTCAATTCTTTTTAAGGATCCTGGTTCAAATTTGATATGTAATGTCGTAGTTTTATGCAAATATTCCGCGGTTTCTATTCAAAATTTTTTAATTATTCTTATTCTAAATGTTTAAATTTTATATTTTAGATATAGTTTATGACATATCAATATAGATAATTACGTACTGTAATATATAATCTATATATTGAATAAATAGATTAAGAAATTAAGTAAATAGGCCTACATTTTTTTTTCTCTCGTTTGAAGACATCTTATCAAAATTTTAAAATAAAAATATTAATATAAAATACAATTGATTTTAAAAATAATATATATAGGTGTAAAATGTCTAATCGGAGTGCAGAAATTGTGACTACACCTTTCTCTTTGTGGGTGAGATACCTCATTTCAGCAACTGTTTTATCATTTCCAATTTTTGGAACAGTTTTTACTTTTACGAATTTTCTCTTTTACAAATAAATTAAGAATTAATTAATTATCTTATCGGCAGTAAAGATATCAATCTAGAGATATGAGGAATCCGGGTTCGAATCGTCTTAATTAATTGAATAAGGATTACAATCCTGACCCGTATTAATTGTTATAGATCTGACCATCGAATGTAGAGCACAAATAATGAGCTTAGAGGCTCACGAACCCAATTCGTGTTGACATTTTTTAGAAATTATAACTTATAATTATAAAACGAGACTAAAATTAATCCGACAATTGCATTTAAATTTGATTTTTAAAATTTACTTAAAAAATACAGATCTTATAGACTACTGTATAGGCTATATATAGGGCCTATATATATAGGCCTATATAGGCTTATATATTTTCCATTATATATTAAAATTATATAAACTATTAATAAAATTATTTACAAAAATGGCATTAAAATTATGTCTTTTTTGAAATAATTTTAAAGATATTTCAAAGCATTTTAGTTATTATTTATACAGTCACGCAATCACACTACCATTTACTTCTCACGCAAATTTACGATTTGTTCAGGCTATGATACAGTCTAAAAAATCAAGTACTTTCACTTTAACCTCTGAACTTCATAAATATAGATCAATGCCCATTAAGAAATATATTTTTAAAAAAAAAAAAAAAAGTTTAAAATGTCATCTAACGACAAGTGATTTTATAATTTCTAATCTAGTTGTTTGGCGAATTGTAGTAGCCATGTGTAGCATCCACTTTCTGTACGTACAAATAAGTTTTGGCTGCTAATCGAAAGACAACACAGGGTCAATGTCATTGCTCGGTTCCCTAGCAAATCACTACTTCGGTGGCGACATCGTGCCGCCTGGAACAGTGGCGCCACCGGTCTGCGAGTGACAAATCTTGATAGCAGAAACCATCCTGGTAACTAGCTTGTAAGAATCACTAATTGATTGCCTGTCACGGGGGAACGTGAGGTACAAAAACATACAAAAACAGGTACCACGCTCGAACAAAAAAAAAAGTTTTATTTAACTGTCTTTCTCATTTATTTAATTCCCCGTTTTAAAATTCGAAAATTCTCAAAACGAATTTATTAAAGATCGCTTGTCTTTAGAAGAAAGTTTTATCAGTAAAAACTAGGGAACGATCTACGTAAAAATAAAAATTGGTTGTAACTTGCCTGACGTCATAATTTAACTAACCAATAGCGGATTGTCACTCCCCTTAACGGCGATTCGTTGTCGCTAAAGCAATTCAGTTTGTGGCAGGCTATCAAACAGGTCTAGCGATGTTTTAATTATTCGACGTTCATCTAACTCCCGTAAAGTAAAAGTTCGACGGACTTAAATTTTGATTTTGTAGGATGATTGCAGATTTCTAAAAATGGAACCTGACGGTACAACAAATGATGCTGTTTGTGCTTCTCCCGAAGATCCTCTTAGATCATCAGCCAAATTTTATATGGATTCGTTATTATCGAACACGTGGAAGAATAAAAATCCCGATTATAAGGGAAAAGCATTTATGATGGACAGTATATTAGAGAAAAGTGACTGTGTACCCAGAAGTTCGGGTGGAGCGAGTGAACTGTCGACCTCTAATGGGTACTTTGGTGGTGCAGTAGGCGAAACATCTAGCAATCTTTCTCAAACGAGACTTCAGTCACCAAACGGTAAGATTTTAATATTTTTATTATTTAATTAGAATATTTATAAAAATATAAGCTTAATAAATTAATTATTTAAGATATAATCTAAGTAAATTTTAATTTTTCTTTGCCCTTTTGGTTTAATTAATAGAAGAAACGTGATCACTTTCTTCTAGATTTTGTTTATTTCGACGAAAAACGAGAGATTTTTTAGAACTATTTTATTCTTCTTTAATGGAAAAATGTAAAAAAAAAAAATTAATTTAATTTAATTCTCTTAAAACTAATGAAAATTAAGTGTACAAATCATCCTGAAATTTTATTACAAATAATTAAATAAACTCTTTCAAAAATTCCCTAATTTCTTTCGTGCTCCATTAAATATATAATTTTGAATATAAATTTATTTATATAATAAATTTATTGATTTTATTTAATTATAAATATTGTAAATAAATAGGCCTATATACTGCTAAGTTGTTATCGTTATGAGTTTCTATATATCTTTACTGTATAGTTTGCGTGGGTAAACTATATGAAAAGGGTAATGTCAGCTGTTCAAACATAAAATTACAAACAAAAAGAAAAATAGTAAAGTTGGCAGCTGCTATCGGTTATATTTTGTTTTAAATTTTAACTTCATTTTAATATATATTTTTTTTAAAAAAATATTATATTGAAAAACATGTTTAAGTAACGTTATCATCTTACGCTCAAATGAATCTCAATATTGATAATTTATCCTTGATAAATAAAGATAAATTTCTAGTTATTTGAATTAAAAACTGTTAAAACTTATTATTATTATTATTTAAATTTATATTAAACTTAACCAGAAGCAATTATTTCTTTTCTAAAATCAATTAATAATTACACTTTTTTCTAAGATAATTTATCTTTTTCTATATTTCTTATATTAAATTTTAGCATGTGTATATGATTAAAACATAAATACAAAGTAAATATTTTAAATTTTTCAATAATTTCAAGCAAAACTAGAACTAAACATAAGTTAAATTGTATTGAAAAACAGTAGGCTACTTGGAGTAGTGCTTTACAGATGATAATATAAACAGAGAATTTAATTTAAATAGAATTAAATATTAAAAAGTCTAGAATATAAGTAAAAATGCAATTAAATGTATAATAATTTGTGAAACAGGATATATAAATTATTTAGGCATTTACACACGAAGTAGTTCTTTTGTTTTTTTCTCATAATCTAATGAATTTACATATAAATTTGCGTTAGATATGTAAACATAAACTTAATTACAGAATTTTGAATATATTATAAATGTTTTTATGATTTTAATTAAACATTTCGAATTTATATATCAATTTATTGAAGAGATAGCAGATAACAATGAATTGATCTAATCTTAATCTGATCTTATCTTTTCTTTATTCACTTTCCTCTAATTACAACAATTTGTTTCAAGTTCTACATTTTATTGAATTATTTACACAATTCGACATATGTAAGAAGCATAATTTAGGGAATTAATCTTTTAAACATGTTTAAATTTTAATAAGGGATTATATTAACTTTTATTTGGGAATATACACTTTATTTGAATTATTTTAATAATTTGAGTATAAAAAATCCTGAGCTATGCTTAATTAAAGAATAATTTTTAATTCAAAGATATTTATAAAGCAGCATTTGTAATAAAATATTAATAATTTATTAAGATTAAATACTTTAAAATTATATCTTTTAATACACAAGTTAATGTTTGGTGTCCTAGAAAGAAAGGCCTCGTTAATTTAATAACTTATGTTTTCTTTTTTAAATATAACTATTAAATTAAATTGAATTTATCATTTTATTAAAATTTATTTATAATAAGTTAGCTTAAACACTAGTGTGATGTGAGCATTTCGTTATATAGGCCTATATATATATATAGTGAATGCGATTCGTGTTACTGAGATAAAGGACTTGTATCTTATAACAATAGCAAACTACAAAAGAATAAGAAAATTTCACGCTGATTATGAATTAAGAAGAAAATGCCCTTAAAGGTTATTTGCCTCGTTGACTCCATTCTTTCTTTATTTAAACACAATTACCGAAGTCATTAACAATCTACTGACTTTGCTTCGATATACTTAAGTCGTTTTTATTCGGAATATGTTAAATATTCTAATGTAAACTTAATTTTATTTAAAGATAATACTTCATTTCTATTTCTAGGCTTTTGTTTCTACATCTAACATCGATTGTTTAGTATTCGAAGCTATAAAACCTATACATTTACACAGTAATCTTCGATAAACTCGTATATTAATCTTAAGTTTAATAAGCCTAAGTACTTGTATTATGCACGATAAATGCTTTGAAAACTTATTATAGTTTTCATCTACAAGTTTTCATATTTAAATTAGTCTTTAAATATATTGCTTTTTGTTTAAATGTACCGTTTACAAGTTAATAACTTTTACTTATACATAACCACACAATTAGAGAGCTTTAATTTAATATTTCTTCTAAGCTTATTAATCTTTAACACTCAATAAATAAATTTAGTAAAGATTTTATCTTTTGATTTAAACTTAGAAATATAATTTACAATATATTTTTTCACATAATAAGCTAGAAGTAAACTAGCACATAACCTACGCAGAATAGGCCTAAGCAGCCTTTCTATCTACATTTTACATAAGCTTACAAGACCAGAATAAATTTATAATAAAATATATACTTAATAAATCTCAATTTTAATGATTTTAAGCTTGTACTTTCTTATCATATATTTTTAAACATATTTTTATGTATTAGAAGCTCGCATAAACGAAAACAGAAAACCTTCTAAGTCTATACACTCATATTAATTAATAAACTACATATTCTCAAATATAATAAAGAATATAAATAGGCCATTACTTATTTAGGCATATTAAAATGCTTGTATTGTACACATCAGTATAATAATCTATGAATTGCGATATCTTCGATCACTACCCTTTCGGGTTACCTATACAAGTCGACCCCCCTATAACACTGTTGATTTTTCCGTTTTATATGAATTCCATGTTGTACGAGTCACTTAGGTTTTACAGATACGTGTGCCGGGCTGTGAATGGCTCACGTATTTGTAAAATTCAAGTGACTCGTACAATACGGAATTCATATAAAACGGAAAAATCAACAGTGTTATAGGAGGGTCGACTGGTACTAAGCATAGAATTAAAGATTAATTATAAGAAAAAGAGCAAAAAAATAGAAACTAAAACTTACTGAAAGTATAGAATTATGGATTAATTATAAGGAAAGTTTAAAAAAAAGCTTAAACCGAGTATAAAATTAAAGCTTAACTATAAGGAAGAGCGCAAGAATTAGTAGCGAAAACATAACTTGAAAGCTGAAATATGTCTTAATATAGTTTAAATCTAAGCATCCTGTTGTATTATTATTGATATTTATTATTATTTTCCGTTATAAAAAATAGATAAAATGCATATTTTAGCAATTAATAATCGACACGTTCGATTTGTTTGATTTTACACCTGATTTAATCGAGGACACAATTTCTTGCGTATTTAACTTTATATTATTAATTATTTATTAATTTTGACAAATTGTTTCTTAAATAAACAAGAAAAAAATAACAATATCAAGTTATTATTATTGAATTTATTACATAAATAAGTCGAAGAAATTAATACAACTATTTTTTCTACCATTCTATTGATATTTTAGATTAATTTTAAATCTTTTTTTTTATTTTATTTATTAATTTATTTAATAGATAGGTAAATATTAACAAAAAACAATAAAAATTTTAATCTAAATAGAATTTCATTTCATTTCTTCTAAAGTAAATTAAAGTAAGGTGCCCATGTATACTCTCAAGTATTCTATGTGATCATTCTTTACGCTTCTAATTATTAATTATAATTAATAATTAGAAGCCTAAAGAATGGTCATAATTATTAATTATAATTAATAATTAGACGGTAACAAAATTATAACGATTAATTAATGTTTGCAAAAGTGTAAAAAAAAAAATAAATGGAGAAACGTGATAACGATAAAAACATGAACTAAAGCTTCTCAAGCAAAACTAGAACTAAAC